GCTCCCCGGCTCACGTAGTAGGTGTGTCGACGGATGATTCGAGGGCAGAGAACTGAGCACTGAATCGCATTGGTCTGGCTTGGGTGGATTTTCACAAATGACATCAAATTGAGCTGATAGTTACTAAGAATCTCTCTGATGGGGGCTACTGGTTGAGGATTTCTCTTCTAAACCTAAAACTTTTGATATCCTAACAATAAATGGCCCTCCAAAGAATTGCACAAAAGCAAAAATAGCATATAAATCATTTCCATAATTGGCAAATTTTGTCCTGATATTTTTTGACTACCTGAAAATTTAACTAAAACCGTAAAAACGAAACAACGCTCATAAATAGGTCCAAATTTATTTCATTTCAATCTTTTTCCTACTTGATTACGCTGAAAATTTAACTAAAACCATAAAAATAAAACAACGGTCATAAATAGGTCCAAATTTATTTCATTTTCATCTTTCTCCTACGTCAGATCATAGCAAATTTAACAAAACTAAATTTAGGTTACATCAACATCTGTTTTTGTTTACCTGTTGTTTTTTGGTCAACTGAAAACAACAGGCGAACAAACATGGCTGTTCATGTTAGACTAATAATATCAGCTTTAGATACTAAACAATTTTCGAAATAAGGAAATACTTGATTAATCAGACAGCTCTGGTAATCTGCTCTATATCCTTATTTTTAAGAAGGGCATAGAATAGATTTCCTTGGCCTGTGTGAAAAATCAGGTTAGCTTGACCTAAATTTCAGAAAGCCTTATGTAAACAGCTAGGATAAATATTTTTGCTAAGTCTTAACTTTTCACGATGTAAGGCAATTTCTCGGTGGTGACTTCAATTGATGCTTCAAATTAGGGTTTCGGATAAAGGTCTGGAACCATATACTTAAGATCTTTTTTTTGATATTAAAAATTATATATTTTGCTAGTTCCAGTCATTTATCGGAATCCTGAGTTGAAGTATCCATTCCAGTCACGACCGTATTTCCACGCTATTTGGCCGAGCTATTGTCACGATCGTCGCGCAATGCTCGTGCAGTCGGCTAGCGTGACCATCGTGACTAACGTGTCAAATCTCGTGGGAACTTAAAAATAGGACAATTTAAATAATTATTATTCCGAAAAACATTAAGATTTAAAGGTTTAAAGACTTGCTGTCGAATCCAAAATTTCCTAGGAACTGAAACATTAAATTTTACTAGCTTCACATTTCTTTCGCACAAATTTCTTATTTACGTAGAAATAAACCTTTATTTCAATGAGAGAATTAATCGAATTATTTCTACGGGAAGCAAAACAGGCAAAAATTTAAATCATCTGCAAGATCGCTTTAATCCCTTTAGTTGCCATTTACGCAGCACTGATTTAAACGAATTCAACATTAGATTTTTAAGGGCAACCAATTTTAAGATATAAAACGAAATATTTAACGCACAATTTACGCAGCACTGTAGCAGTACTGCGTAAATTTTGCTTCATAATGTTTCGCTTTATTACTTTCAGATAATTTCGACTCAGACTCTTTAGAAAAACAGCAATAATAAGCGACGCGTAAACAATACGCGTAATTTTCACTTCCAAATTTCCTTTCATGTAGGTCTAAACACTAAATACTAAACAATAACTAGGACGAGAGAAATCCAGTATCAGTAGCTTCGCAGAGGAGAGATTATTATTGACTTGTGCTCTTTGGTGAAGTTTGGGGAATGAAGGCCGGTCAGACCAGCGCGATTCTTTGTTCAATTTTCTGGGCATCGATGACGGAGACCCACTGAAGACTGAGTTTCACTGTCTTGCGCCCTCTTTTTTCTTGTCCACGACTCTGGATATTTTTCACGATATATTGACTTTGTAGACACGCACTTTCAAACCAAAATTATAGTTTTCACTACAAATTGTTTGGCTCATTTTAATTCCAAATTAATTTGGTGTGGTATTGTGACAGAGTTGAATGGGACCCTCAGAGCATGAGGAGCGAACTCTCACTTTTCTTCACGCTGACCTCCCCACTTGGGGACAAACGGCTGAATTTTCTAAGTGTCCAACTGCCCCCAGCTTGAATGAAGGGATCAGATAAAACAGACCAGGATTTTAAAGTTGGAATATCAAATGAGGACAGAAGAATGAACACCGACTCGGAGCAGAGTGGAAGCAGCCAGGCAGGGACGAGGGAGGCTAGATTACTTTTTTTTGTTATTTTTTTATTGTGAATAAATGGACAACAGAGACAAGCTTTATTCGTTCAATAAAATATTGTTATCTTCAGTACCTGTGCTGTTTACCTTGTAATCCAACTACTTGAGTGAACCAGATAAATACCCTAAAGGCTCAGACACAGTGAAACGTTACACGCAGTAAAGGCTGGTTTTTTCTAACGACATGAACACAAGCGTCAGTTTAGTGAAGACATCAACAACAAAAAGATAAGCACAACTTTAGGAAACCCACGCACTTATCATAATTCTTCTTCCTCGCTAAGAACTAACACAACATAAGCACAAGCAAGGTAAACCAAAACAAAGTTTGTTTTGTTGTGCTCAGCTCGTGTTGTGTTAATCCTTTACGACGAGAAAACAAGAATAATCTTTGCGCTCACACCTTCAGTTTTGTATCTTAATAAACTTCAGTTGTTGATGACCTCGCTAAACTTAAGTTTGTGGTACGCTGTTAGTAAAACCAGCCTTAAAATTACACTGTGTTTCGACCCCCAAAAACCTTGTCGGAAATGTTCCAAAGCAAAAAAAAAAAATACTGCGTTGTAATTTTGCTTTATAACTCTTTATAGGAGTAGAAACACAGTGCAAAGTTACTGCGCGAAATGTTTCACTGTTTGTCCGAGCCTTATAATAAGCCAAGTTCTGCTTCACAAACTATAAAGCTTTAAGCAATCAACAAAGTGACGGCAGCAAGATCGGCACTTGAAAAAATAATTAGCAGTTATGCGAACATCATTTATTGTTTAAATTTTCTCAGCATTTTAACTGATTTACTTTGTAGCGCACGTTTTGAATTTGATATTTGATGGCTAAATGTTTGTGTTCTGTCTCAAATCCATGATTTTTTTATTACTTTTCTTGTTGATTTGCGTACAAAAACGAAAAAACGTGGAAAAAGTTAAAGCGAGCGAGCTGGGAAAGCCTTGGGTCGTTTTAGTTTACTCAGCATTTTAAATTTACCTATCACTTTAAACTTTGTACGCGCGCGTTTTGAATTTGATATTACTCGGCTAAATGTTTGTGTTCTCAAAACCTTGAACTTCTGATTATTAGATTCTTTTTTTTGCATACAAAAGCGAATAAATGTGCAAAAAAATGAAAGCGAGCGTGCAATTTGAAGCCTTTTGTTAGGTGCCATTGTAGTTGCCGTCTTCATTTGTGATTGCTTGAGCTCCAAAAGTTGGAAAAACATAAGGAAATAAATTTCAGACTTTTTCAGTAAGCGGTTTGTTTTTCATTTTCATCCCACAAAACACATGCACATAGAAAAAAACCCTAACAGAAAGAACTTTACCGTGCTCTAAATCCGATGTCAAACTTGCGTGTGATCTTCTTCAAGGCCGTTTTTGAGCTTCACGACTTTGCGTGAGGAGCCTAAATAGCGGCCGAAAAAAGACTCCAAGTTTGATACGAGTTGTTGTTAATCAGAATTTCAATTTGCACATGTATTTATGGATTGCATTGTTATTGCAAAACAAACCGCTGATCTGAAGGCCTCAAGGTTACTGTGAACTTTCAGTCCCAAGTTTTAACATGTTATTTTCTTTACTAACCGCTGCGGATTTTCCTTACTATCAGTTCTGAGAATTTGACAGTTGATCATGACAAAGCCTTCCCCCACCCCCCCACCCCCATCATAATTATGTTTATTTTCAACACCCTTCCGCTTGGTAATTTACTCAAAGAAGTAAAGAGAAATAACATGTTGATCACTCTGGAATTAAAAAGGATGAGTGCAAATTTTTTAAATCTCCCCACTTTACCTCCTCGGAAAAACACTAAATTTTCCACGCTCAGTTTTATTCAGAGTTTGTCAAACGTACTTTAAAACACTGCTGCAGAAATTTTGGCGACTCTACTTTAATCATTTCATTATTGCTGTTGTTGTTGCTATGTAATTCTTATTCCATTTTGGAAGCAGAAGACTGATTATAGTGGTAAAATTAATTCAACGAATGTCAGAATGAGACCCGAAAGATTCATACTCAAAGCACTTGCTGTTGTTTTCCACAAAAACGTTTGAAGGTTAGGAACGCAATCCAAATTTACAAAAAAATTAAAACAAATTAAAGGAATAATCCAGTTCACCCATGCCAAATCTTATTTTCTTGTGATAGAAACTGTGGATTAAATTTTCCCCGAACGTGGAAATGAAAATGGAATTAAATTTAAGAATTTAGACATTTTATTGACTTGAACTGAAAAATCACCTCCAAGAATAGGAGGGCAAGTTGTTGCAGTGTTGAATGTCAGTCAGAAATTCAAGCTGTCAAACAAAACAACAGATTAATTTGCCAATTTGCCACGACTGCAGTTTTACCTACGAACAAACTCTCCTCTCCTCCCCCTGCCCCCACTCTCCAATCAAATGATGGCTTAGGTTGGCTGACGATTTTGTTGGTGTATAACTATTGTAATCGTTGAAACAGTTAGCAGCCAGCAAGAAGCACTATACTGCACATCATCAACGTGAAGTATCAATGTGAAGTGCATTCAGTCATTCCTAATATAAGACGCAAGCAAGAGGAGATTTGAAATGCACTCATCAAGTTCACAGAATACGAATATACTATACCATTAAAATACGAATCCATAATAAGGCCACTGTGAATTGGTCAGACCCTTCACAGATATGCAGGTCTGTCTTTTGAACAAAATGTCAGATTATTCTGCACCATCATCCAGAATAAAAATCGACAGTCGTTTGACAAACCCTAGTTTGGCCAGTCATCCTAGTCGTTCCAGTCACCCTAGTCGTGCCAGTCACCCTAGTCGTGCCAGTCATCCTAGTCGTGCCAGTCATCCTAGTCATCCCAGTCATCCTAGTCGTTCCAGTCACCCTAGTCGTGCCAGTCATCCTAGTCGTTCCAGTCACCCTAGTCATGCCAGTCATCCTAGTCGTCCCAGTCACCCTAGTCGTCCCAGTCACCCTAGTCGTGCCAGTCATCCTAGTCGTTCCAGTCACCCTAGTCGTGCCAGTAACCCTTGTCATCCCAGTCACCCTAGTTGTGCCAGTAATCCCAGTAACCCTAGTTGTCCCAGTCACCCTAGTCGTCCCAGTCACCCTAGTCGTCCCAGTCATCCTAGTCATCCCAGTCATCCTAGTCATTCCAGTCACCCTAGTTGTCCCAGTCACCCTAGTTGCGCCAGTCATCCCAGTCATCCCAGTCACCGTAGTCGTCCCAGTCACCCTAGTCATGCCAGTCATCCTAGTTGTCCCAGTCATCCCAGTCATTCCAGTCGCCCTAGTTATCCCAATTATTCCAGTCATGGTACTCATCCAAGTAATTCTAGTCCCCCTATTCACACCAGTTACCCTACCCATCCGAGTCACCTTAGTTATTCCAGTCATCCCAGTCATCCTAGTCCCCCTATTCACCCCAGTTACCCTCACCATCCCAGTCATCTTAGTTATCCCAGTCATCCGAGTAACCCTAGTCAATTAGTCAATTAGTCCCAAAACTCAGTGTCATACCAGTCATCCCAGTCATTTTAGTCATCCATGTCATCCTAGTGATCCCAGTCATTTTAGTCATCCATGTCATCCTAGTGATCCCAGTCATATTAGTCATCCATGTCATCCTAGTGATCCCAGTTATCCCAATCATCCTAGTCATCCTAGTAGGCTTTTATAGATTGTGCTAGAAGTAGCTCATTACACCAGTAGCACTGCCTTTTTTGGCCAAATTATGCTAAAATTATGCTCGTTTTTGCAAATTATGACAACTTTTTTTTTAATTGTGCTCTTCAAAAACCATAGCGAATAAGTCCAAAAATGCATTTTCTTTAATCAGAAGCCGTTTATTCTTGTTAGCTATAATACATATTCTTTCTCGTGTCCGTTTCTTGTTCATGCTTTGAACTTCTTTTAAAACGGATCTTCAAGAAAAAACACCGACCGACATGCTTTGCCATGGGACTTCCGGTTCCCGTACACCCTAGTCCCAGGGCCCATTTCCGGGCTCAGTTAACTGCAAATACCGTTAAAACATCGAACAACGTAAGCGTATAATTGGGATTCGGGAATCAAGGTAACTGTCAAAACCCAAAAATGTTCCCAAAATTATCAAATATCCGAATTATGTTAGCGGTGCTACGTTTTAAAAAATGGGAAAAATTACGATAGTTTTCTCAACTTATGCTAAAAATTATGCAACCACATTCTATAAAAGCCTACATCTTAGTCATCCCAGTCATGCCATTTGTCCTAGTGATCCCAGTAACCCTAGTCATCCTAGTCATTCCAGTCATCCTAGTCATCCTACACATCCCAGTTATCTTAGTGATCTCAGTCATCCCAGTCATCCTAGCCCCAGTCATCCTAGCCATCCCAGTCACCCTAGTCATCCTAGTGATCCCAGTTATCCCAGTCGTCCTAGTCATCCCAGTCATCCCAGTCACCCTAGTCATCTTAGTGATCCCAGTTATCCCAGTCGTCCTAGTCATCCCAGTCACCCTAGTCATCCTAGTGATCCCAGTCATCCCAATCAGCCTAGTCATTTCAGTCACCCTAGTCATCCTAGTGATCCCAGTCATCCCAGTCACCCTAGTCATCCTAGTCATCCCAGTTATCCCAGTCGTCCTAGTCATCCCAGTCACCCCAGTCATCCTAGTGATCCCAGTCATCCCAATCAGCCTAGTCATTTTAGTCACCTAGTCATCCTAGTGATCCCAGTCACCCTAGTCATCCTAGTGATCCCAGTTATCCCAGTCACCCTAGTCATCCTAGTGATCCCAGTCATCCCAGTCACCCTAGTCATCCTAGTGATCCCAGTTATCCCAGTCATCCTAGTCATCCCAGTCACCCTAGTCATCCTAGTGATCCCAGTCATCCCAGTCACCCTAGTCATCCTAGTGATCCCAGTCATCCCAGTCATCCTAGTCATCCTAGTGATCCCAGTCATCCCAGTCACCCTAGTCATCCTAGTGATCCCAGTCGTCCCAGCCACCCTAGTCATCCTAGTGATCCCAGTTGTCCTAGTCATCCCAGTCACCCTGGTCATCCTAGTGATCCCAGTCATCCCAGTCACCCTAGTCATCCTAGTGATCCCAGTTATCCTAGTCGTCCTAGTGATCCCAGTCATCCCAGTCACCCTAGTCATCCTACTGATCCCAGTCACCCTAGTCATCCTAGTGATCCCAGTTGTCCTAGTCATCCTAGTCATCCCAGTCACCCTTGTCATCCCAGTCACCCCAGTCACCCTAGTCATCTTAGTGATCCCAGTTATCCCAGTCGTCCTCGTCATCCCAGTCACCCTAGTCATCCTAGTGATCCCAGTCATCCCAGCCACCCTAGTCACCCTAGTGATCCCAGTCACCCTAGTCATCCTAGTGATCCCAGTCGTCCTAGTCATCCCAGTCACCCTAGTCATCTTAGTGATCCCAGTTATCCCAGTCGTCCTCGTCATCCCAGTCACCCTAGTCATCCTAGTGATCCCAGTCATCCCAGTCACCCTAGTCATCCTAGTGATCCCAGTTATCCCAGTCATCCTATTCATCCCAGTCGTCCTAGTCATCCCAGTCACCCTAGTCATCATAGTGATCCCAGTCATCCCAGTCACCCTAGTCATCCTAGTCATCCCAGTTATCCCAGTCATCCTATTCATCCCAGTCATCCTAGTCATCCCAGTCACCCTAGTCATCCTAGTGATCCCAGTTATCCCAGTCATCCTAGTCATCCCAGTCAGCCTAGTCATCCTGGTGATCCCAGTGATCCCAGTCACCCTAGTCATCCTAGTGATCCCAGTCGTCCTAGTGATCCCAGTCACCCTCGTCATCCTTGTGATCCCAGTCATCCCAGTCACCCTAGTCATCCTAGTGATCGCAGTTATCCCAGTCATCCTATCCATCCCAGTCGTCCTAGTCACCCCAGTCACCCTATTCATCCTAGTGATCCCAGTTATCCCAGTCGTCCTAGTCATCCCAGTCAGCCTAGTCATCTCATGCCAGTCATGTTTGTAATCCCAAAAATCCCAGTCATCTCAGTCAGCAGTGTCATCCCAGTCATTCAAGCTGTCCTAGTGATCCCAGTCATCCTAGTCACCCAAGTAGTCCCAGTTATCCTAGTCATCCTAGTCATCCCAGTCATCTTAGTCATTCCAGACATCCTAGTCACTGTAGTCATCCCAGTCATTTTAGTCATCCCAGTCACCCTAGTCATCCCAATCATGTCATCCCAAAAAATCCCAGTCATATTCGTCATCTCAGTCATCCCAGTCATTCCAGCTATCCCAGTCATCTCGGTAATCTTATTCATCCCAGTCATCCTGGTCATCTGAGTCGCCCTAGTCATCCCAGTCATCCTAGCCATGTTAGTAATCCGAAAAAACCCAGTCATCTTTGTCATCCTAGTCGTCAGTATCATCCCAGTCATCCCAGTCAAAGAAGTTAGCAGTCCCGGTCATGTTATTTATTCCAGTAATTCCAGTCATCCCAGTTATAGTAGTCATGCGAGTTATCCTTGTCATCACAGGTCATCCCATTCAATTATTAAGTCAGACAGTCATTTGCATAGATCAACGCGGTAAGAAATTTGAAGGGTACAATATGGACTGCATATCTGCACCAACAGGTACTATAATAACAACCTCCTAATAATAATGATAATAATAATAATAATAATAATAATAATAATAATAATAATATGGATTCCATGTAATTATTATAATTATTATTATTATATCAGCAGAACTTGGCTATTGATTTAAACGTTGTGACAGTTGAACAAAGTCGACAAATGCTAATCTAGGAGAAAACTTATAATGACCACGGTTTTGCATTTAAGTTTTCAGATCATGAGTACTTCACCAACAAGTGCATGTCTCTTGGAATTTTAGCAATCAATCAAATAATTTTGTTCTTCAAACCAAAAAGATTTGAGTGAGTTTCAGCTGTCTTTGTTTTGTGATTCCCTGCAGACATAAAACTGGCGATTGCAAGCTTTTATTTAATATAAAATGTCCAATTCAAACAAAGTTCAACAGAAATGCTAAATGTATCCCTTAAAAATAATGGTTTCATTTGCTTGGTCTTAAAGTACCAATATTATTTATTCAGAAGTCAATAATAAAATATTTGTTCGATCCTGTTGATTTCTTTTAAATACACTTTAGAAATGCCAGTCACAGAATCCCCAACAGCTGTAGCTGTTCAGGACTACACTCAATTGGAAGATCCTGGGTTAAATCATTGTATTTTCATCACAATAATTTTGACCAAGCTGTACAACTGTACTTGATTTAATTTTATTTTGGAATTTCGCTCTTTTATGTTGCATTTTATTTTGCACATGTTTTTAGTTTATATTGTTGTTGTTGTTTTACTGGTAAAAGTATACACTTGATGCTGAAATAACTTTGAAATGAAAGAATTAGGCACAATGTAACCACGTTACAACAGCTTTCCCTGGATTAGCTTAATCAAACTTTGAAATCACCTGGCCAACGATCCTGTTTATCTGGTTCACTCAAGAGCTGGATTACAGAGCAAAACATAGAGCACATACAGTACTGAAGATAACAGAGGCTCTTTGCTCGTGAAAGTCCTTGTCCAGTCTTCTGTGGCATCTGATCTGGAAACAAAAGTTTAAAATATTCAATAAAGCTCATCAGTTATTTTCAGAACAGACCAATTTCCCATTAACATTCAAACCTCGCTTTATGGACACCCACTTAATACAGAAACCTAATAATTACGGACACTTTGCTTTGTCCCTGAGGAAAGAAAGCCCTCTCTAAATTGAAACTGCTTAATCTAGACATCCCGTTAATATGGACACTTTCTATGGCCCCCTTAGTGCCCATATTTAAAAGGTTTAACTGCATCACATTTTCATGGATACCAGTGAGCAAACATGTTGGAATACCACATGATTATAATAATAAATTAACACCCACCCCTTGACTATACTGGCAAATAACACTTGTGGTATCAGTTTTATAGAACTTTTACAAATATAATTTTACAAGTGTACAGATGTAGCAATATGTTTTCAGACTGTTTCCACTGATTTAGGACCAATGGTTTTTTGGGCTTAATTTAAGTTCCAGAGGCCTGTTTCTCAAAAGTCCCAGTAACTTTTTGGGCTCGAAATCAAATATTCAAATTGAAATATAAAGAATAAGAGTGCGGCTCCTGGCTGGCAAACTACTCCATTTTGTTTCGTTAACTGATAGTTTAATCATGTTAGATGCAAAACTATCAAAACCCTGATCTTTAATGTAAATAGCGACAACTTACAGGGCCCATTAATCATCAGGGCTTTCGAGAAACGGGCCCCAGGTCACTAATATCCTGCTGTTTAGTGTAACCCTTGTGACCATTACTCGAGGATCGCTTGTATACCATTGCCATACTTTATGTATTGTCCTTCACTGTTCGGATAATACCTTCGCCATCAGGTGTGTGTGTGTTTTTAATTCCTTTAGTTTATTTCTTTAGGTTTTTC